GTTAACGGTTCAGAAAGAACCGAGTTCGAATACCAATCGAATTTGTTACATTCACTTTTGAATATTTTTTATTTTTATCATTTCACTCTAAGCAAGGCAATAAAGCCACCAAGACGCAAGGGGGTTACTGAGTGTGAAGGAATATAAAAAGAAGAACACTATTAAGAAGAGAGAGAACAATAAAAAAAAACAAGAATCAAGAAGATAATGATTGACACTGCATTTAAACCTTTGAAGATCAAAGGCAATGAAGCAAGAGGTTACTGAGTGTTAGAGAATATGAGAAAAACTACTATTAAGGAGAGAGAACAATAAAAGAACAAGAATTAAGAAGACAGAAGATAACGATTGACATTGGATTTAAATTTTTGAAGATCAAAGGCAATAAAGCCACTAGGACGCAAGGGGTTACTCAGTGTTAGAGAATATGAGAAAAACTACTATTAAAGAGAGAGGACAATAAAAGAAGAAGAATTAAGAAGACAGAAGATAACGATTGACATTACATTTAAATTTTTGAAGATCAAAGTTGACTGGAAGACAAGAGACCGGAAAAGAGTTCCACAAGCGAAAAGTACTAAAGAAGAAACTGTTAGCATAGAACTTACGGTTATACCGTGCAAATGTAAAATGAGACCTAACTGTCAATCTAGTACTGCGCTTAAATTCGTGGTACCAAAGAAGAAATCTCATCCGAACAATTACCATGAAAATATTTATAGAAAAAGGAAAAGGAATCTACATAAAGGTGGTGGGAAAGTGACTGAAGCTGAGATGCCAGATCAACAAGTTTCGTTCTCGTGATTACTGGCGGCTCTGTAACAGTGCGTTAAATAAGAGATTTTCTGACTTTCTACTTACAGCTGAGTCTCTAGTCTGTGATTACTTGAGAAAGGTATGAATCTATCAATTCTGCTTCCAGGTACAGGTTGAATAACAGGGCAGATTGAGCCATGTTTGTTAACCAGTCTAGGAGAAGGATAACCCTGAATTCAAAACTCATTCACCCGAAGCTCTACAAAGACAGTTAAATCTGGAGTGTAAATACTATTCCTGTAAAACAAATTCTCGGTAGATTTCACTTGGTATACCTCAAAGATTCCCAACATGAGGCACATGCCTCACCGGTGGGTTTATGGTAATATTTGGGTAGGGGCATGTGAAGGATGTATACCCTTCGACTTACTATACCAACAGAAGCTCAAATTTCATTTTGCATTATTATTTCATGATTAAAATGATCAAAGTATATTACAGAATAAGCTTTCATTTAAATATTTTATATTTCTACCTTTTTATATGTTTTGAAAACTATATATATTTAACTGTCTTTTAGTTTTTTTAATTTTTCTCTTTCATGGATGCCATGGTCTTTGGAGGCTTATTTAGAGACCAAGTTAATGGCCTTTTAAGTTTCCTTCATATGAATTGCAGTAAAATTTTTGAATATATAAGAATTAAATATTACAGAGAGGCGCCAGAATTTTAGAAATACCAAAGTTGGGCATGACCCAAAATAGGTTTGGAACCACTGGTATAGATAATTCTATTCGTCGTTGTCGTCTTTATCTCGTATCCAAGAATTTGTATTTTTCTTTGTTGATCGCTTCCTTTACGGGTTGATGAAGCCATTCACTGCCAAAGTGCAGATTCATAACTAGAAGTTTCACAAAAACTTTCTCCCGTCACCCATTCTCTATCGCCGTTTGGCGTTGCAAGAGTTGGTTGGAGGGGAAATAAAAGAGTAAAGAGAAGAAAAAATTGCCGAGGGTGTGAATTTATTCAAGGTGGCCCAAAAACTTGCCAAGAAGTGACTCACACACTTGATCTCATGACCTTTGGCACATATGGAATAAGACATACAGAGTCCAGTTATAAAACTGCAACAGACTGCTACTGACACTGTTATCATTTCCAGTGGCGCCTACTGTAGTATATCTATCATGCGTAGCCCTCTTTATCCGCTTATTCCACCGTTTACAATACCAGTAGATAACAATTATCCAGATAAACTGACACCAACGGGAAATTGATCTCAATGAAGGTTTCATGCTAAAAACATAAAACAAAGAATTTTGCGAATCAAAATCAGACTACATTGGGAGATGGCTCCCCGGTTATATTCCCACCTGCTTAAGATATGATGTTTCAGAAAATAAGCGATAATGATTCTCCACAGCTTTCTTTGAATATATATAGACTTTGCATGACCATTGTTCTTTGGAAATATTTTTTTATGTAAATTCAACGCGCCCTTTCACCCTTTTGATTTGAGTAGTCCTTCTAATAGATCGGAGGCCAGCCGACGCTAGAGAGACAAGTCTACGCTGCTATTTATACCATAGTGATAAGAGATGGATGAGCACATGGCCGAGTGGTTAGAACGTTCGCTTTCTGGCTATGAGATCGAGGTTCGAATATCACCATGGTCGATTTGTCGGGAAGGTGACCTCTTGATATTATCAGTCCAGAGGAGGCAACCCCAGCGTTCGGTACCATTGGAAAGTGCCTGAAACCTGTGCCACGGGTTGACCCAAGACTTGTGAGACGGAACCCTTGATGGCTGTGCTAGCACGAAGTCACAAGTCATCGTGTCCGAGCGTTTGAGCGTGCTGGCCTTATTTAGATTGTTGATCACGCTAGAAAAACGCTCCTCTTTGAGAAAGTGTAACTAAAGTTTGCCTAGCATAAAACTCGGGTGGGCTTTGTGGTCAGGTGGGTTTGTGGGTGTTGAACAAACACAAAATGCGCCTGAGTAAGCGTCTTCAATTGGGATTAGCTAGACGGGTATCTTCGAATACGAGTGGCCAGCCATTAACGTGATAAGAGATGGATTCATGCCTTTCGCAAAGGCATTTGTGAGGAAGAAAACGAAACAGGCTAGGCTGGAACTCGAACCCGGCTCGCCGGGATCACTTCCTGCGCCGATAACCCTTATAATAACATTATATATTTAAATGATCTTGTTTGCCGTTGCCTTCTTGACACCGTTTACAACTAAGGCTGATCTAGGGTGTCAGATTTTGAAAGAAATAAAGTTAATCTTCTAAAGTCATAAAATGCGGTGATTCTAATGGCGAATTTCTCATGTTGAACGATGGCGCAAATGTCGTCGGTTGTCGGTGAGACATGAATTCTGTGTCTATGCGAAAAAGTCATTTGTCAAGTTTATATCTTCTTCAAGCTGAAACGAGAGAACTTTGAAATCTGACGAATCATTTCGTTTTAGTCGAGATTGTGACCTTTCGTCGGGGCGATGGCAAACGAATCGTCGACTCGTCTAATTAAGCCCAAATTGACCGCCAAAACGACTGGCCCTGCAACAAGCAGCGAAACGTGCAACGGTAATGATTTGGTCGAAACTCTTGTTGTTCGAAAACAAAACTTTCGCCAGTTTAAATCCTTTGCTTAAGAATTTTGGTTGGTTGATTTTGTTTAGAGGCACATGAACACCTTTATGAGTTATTCAGTGGCGAAATCTAAATATTTTTAATACAGTCTTATGCCTCAAACTACAGATTTTTTGTGCATAATTTTATCCTTTCAAAGTAAAGGTATATTTTTACACATGTATGATAAAATTTATCGTTGGTAATTAAAAGACTTATTGCCGATATAAGATGTATTTTTGTACTTGTGCTATATTGATTGTCATTTTGTTATAGAAATATGTTGCTGATCGTTTTGCTATAAAATGTAATGTTGTTAATTTTGCTATAAAATATACTGTTTGTAATGTTTTTATGAAAATACATTGCTGGTATTTTTACTATAAAATGTATTTTTATACTTTACTAGTGTTTTTTTTTATTTTTGTTTTGGGATTCACTATTTGCCTATAGCTGAGACCCTAACAGGTGCTACCACACGAAGTCAGTGTGAATCTGGGAACAACGATAATTAAGAGATGGTTCCACGTTCCTGAAACCTTCCAATCTCCCGAACAGAGGCCTTGCTACCGGATGTAGTTTAACTTCATATCCAGGACGATGGGAGGTGAAGAATGGGCAGCTCCTGCCGTTATATGTCAGCAGTAATCTATTTTTGGTCTGATCTGACTCTTGTAAACTTAGAGAATAGCAGAGAGTAGAGTTGACAATGCGAAGAACTGGCATGCAACTCTACGGGCAACGACAGTCCCCAAAGTATCATAGAGTTACACTAAAAAGTTTGTAAAATCTTCAATAATCAACGGTGGTACGTAAAAGTCTAAAGTAATAATGTTTCACTATCTGCCGATAGTTGGGACCCAAACAGGTGCTACCACCCCGGGTCAGTGTGGACCTGGGAACAACAGCAATTAAGAGGTAGTTCGACGCTCCTGAAAACCTACAATCTTTTAATGAGAAGCCTTGCTGCCGGATGTAGTTTATCGTCATGCCCTGGACTACTTTGCGTGTGAAATATTCAAGTTATTTTAAATAGTTGCTTCAAGACATGATTCAAAATATTTCCAAGTTCTACAGAGAATTTTTTTAAAATAAATTCACTGCAAGCAAGGCGATAATTCCACTAAGACGCAAGAGGGGGGCACTGAAAGTGAAAGAGAAGAAAAAGACTTTAGAAGGAAAGAACCGGAAAACCAATCCTAATCAAGAAACAAAGGATAAACCTCTACTCCTGTTCAAAAGACAGGGGAGGGGTGTGAACCGAACGATAGACGAATCTACTAAATATTTAGGATCAGAATAAAAAGAAATATATTTCAGGTACAAAACATTTAAGTATGACGTCGATTCTTTTTTGCCTGTTTTATATAGTAATAGTAGTTGTAGTACTGTTAGCAGTAGTAGTAGTAGTAGTAGTAGTAGCAGATGTAGTAATAATAATAATTCTTAAGAGAGGAGCTCGCTTTAAGAAAAAAATAGAAAAGTCACAAAGTTTGATAACGTTAAACAATATTTCGACAATACGTCTGTCTTCTTCAATTATATTTTTTCAAGTATAAAAATATATAATTCTGAGATGAGGTATTATGTACACTATTTACATTATTCAGACTATTGTCCTCATCTTTGTCGCCATATTTATTACAACGTTTCAGCCTTTCAGTATCTGTCTATATTTCTGTGATGAGGTATTATGTACACTATTTACATTATTCGGACTATTGTCCTCATCTTTGTCACCATATTTATTACAACGTTTCGGCCTTTCAGTATCTGTCTATATTTCTGAGATGAGGTATTATGTACACTATTTACATTATTCGGACTATTGTCCTCATCTTTGTCGCCATATTTATTACAACGTTTCGGCCTTTCAGTATCTGTCTATATTTCTGTGATGAGGTATTATGTACACTATTTACATTATTCGGACTCTTGTCCTCATATTTGTCACCATATTTATTACAACGTTTCGGCCTTTCAGTATCTGTCTATATTTCTGTGATGAGGTATTATGTACACTATTTACATTATTCGGACTATTGTCCTCATCTTTGTCGCCATATTTATTACAACGTTTCAGCCTTTCAGTATCTGTCTATATTTCTGTGATGAGGTATTATGTACACTATTTACATTATTCGGACTCTTGTCCTCATATTTGTCACCATATTTATTACAACGTTTCGGCCTTTCAGTATCTGTCTATATTTCTGTGATGAGGTATTATGCTCACTATTTACATTATTCGGACTATTGTCCTCATCTTTGTCGCCATATTTATTACGTTTCGGCCTTTCAGTATCTGTCTATATTTCTGTGATGAGGTATTATGTTCACTATTTACATTATTCGGACTATTGTCCTCATGATTGTCGCCATATTTATTACAACGTTTCGGCCTTTCAGTATCTGTCTACATTTCTGTGATGAGGTATTATGTACACTATTTACATTATTCGGACTATTGTCCTCATCTTTGTCGCCATTTTTATTACAACGTTTCGGCCCTTCAGTATCTGTCTATATTTCTAAGATGAGGTATTATGTACACTATTTACATTATTCGGACTATTGTCCTCATCTTTTTCGCCATATTTATTACAAGGTTTCGGCCTTTCCGTATCTGTCTATATTTCTGAGATGAGGTATTATGTACACTATTTACATTATTCGCACTATTGTCCGAATCCATGTTTAATGGATGTCAGTTAGGTATCTCCTGCTAATTCCCCTCTGAAAGTTCTCTACTGCCTTAGCCGGGTATTAAACTCACACTCTTTGGGTCATATCACTGCATCTAACGCCTTTATCCACTGCGCCATGGCACGTGGCACTAGAACACTCTACCCCAGTGAGCGAAATAAATGGCTTAGTTCTACATTCCAACCACCTGAAGAAAGCCGGAGCGTACAACGACCGAAACGTTGTAATAAATATGGCGACAAAGATGAGGACAATAGTCCGAATAATATAAATAATGAAAAATATATAAATGTACAACCCCCACCCCCCAAAAAACATAAGTCTTTGTACAAACGTTTCTTGTCTTGTAATGAAAATTTAACGACCCTTTGATCCTTAAAACGCCTGAGGATAGTTACATATGGTGGAAGAATTACGTCAATCATTTTTTCAACAACAGCAAAATTATTATTATTATTATTATTATTATTAATAATAATAATAATAATAATAATAATATTAATTGAAATCGAAATCTCCAAATGTGGCACACGGGAACATAAACAATCCCTGTTGTAGTTGGAGCCCTCGGATTTTTTGGAAAAGATTCCAATAGACTTATTGAAGGTTTTCCTGGAAGCCCATACCTTAACGAAATACAAAATATTTACGAAGTGCTTTATCTATGTAAAATATGTGTGTTGTTTTTTTTTTTTTTTTTTTTTTTAATTACTTAGTGGAAAATGTCATGATGCCATTTCTGACCTTAGGTCTCTGGTTGGGATCCGGAAAGAAATGAGTACACACTAGAAATGAAAGGAAATGAAATAATAATAATAATAATAATAATAATAGCAATTGCTTTCCTATTACATGACACTCCCTGCAGATTGCAATGTACCTTTGAAGATCTACAAAAAATATCTCAAAAATGTGACACAATAATTCTAGTTCCAGTTGGAGCTCTTAGACTGATTGGAAAAAAATTCCGATAGACACATTGAAGGAATTCCTGGTAGTCCAAGCCTTAAAGAAATACAAAAAAATTTACTCACAAGTGCAACTCACATATTATGAAGAGCAATATCTATGTAAAATCTGTGTGATTTTAGGATTTTTTCTTTTTCAAAAAATGCTCAGTGGAAAATGTCATGATTTGGTCCCGGATAGAAATGAGTATACACCAGAGATCAAAGGAATTGGAGCCCTCGGATTGGTTGGAAAAGATTTCAGTAGACTAATTAAAGACTAGAAGCCCATGCCTTAAAGAAATACAAAAGATTTTTCTCAGGAATACAGCTAAGACCTTACGAAGTGCTTTGTCGACCATTTCTAACCTTAGGTCTCTGGAGAGGACCCGGAAAGAAATGAGTACAGATCAGAAATCAAAGGAATAAATAAATAATAATAATAATAATAATAATAATAATAATAATAATAATAATGCAGACGACTTTTTTAATCATCGCAGACAGCATCACCATTTTTGCAGATCAAACAGAAATTGAAAACCTGTTTATTTATCAGGACCTCGCCAGAGAGCTAATATGAAACTGATGATATTCATCATTACTGAAAAATTCTTGTAAAAAGACTAAGAGTTATAGATTTAAGGAAAAATTGATAATATTCAGGTAGTATTTCTGAAAAATCCACGAATACTGAAGAGGGCGCTGGTGTAGTAAAGAAACTCGTTATCACTTTATCATTACCAAGAGAAACGAAATACTAAAGAGTAATGTTATTGTATGGAACTACACCATCTTTGAACATTTGGTCACTGGCCAGGGTGCTAAACTTAACCAACCAGCAGTTGGGAGCGGTTTTTTTTTTTTTTTTTTTTTAATTATGATCGAACGTTGGAAAAACTAAAGAAAGAAATTTGTGGGTGTTTAGCCACCCGTATATTGGGGTGTGTGCAATGTCAATCCCACCGGGGTGGGGGAAGTGAAAGGCCCAAGTGTCCATAGGTTTCGAAATGTGGATACTGCAGACTAAATAGAAAAATCCCCTCTCTTCACTACTCACTCTTAATCTCTCTCTCTCTCTCTCGCCCTCTTCAACTTCCTCGCTCTCTTTTTGTTTTTTACTCCCTTGCTTCATCCTGATAGTCGGGTACTCACTCCCTTTGTGAGCTTTTTATAGCTTTACAAATGTATTTCTTGCTGCTGAAACAATTCGCACTGACGCTCTCCCTTTCCGGCTAGAGAGCCGTATTAAGGTAATCCGCCATTTTAACTTTTCTGGCTTTCTACTTACAGTCAATTGGTTTTACCTTTTTTTTCATTGATTTTTCTTTTTTATGCGTTTTTTAAAATCATTTATTTATTTGTTTTTTTTGTTTTGTTTTTTTTTTTGTTTTTTTTTTATATTTTGGCGTTTACACCATATTTTTTTTATTCGTTTTTATTTAACGTTGGACTTTATTTACGTAATTCTTTCTTTCTTTCTTTTTCTTTTTCTTTTTCTTTTTGTTTCCTATTCTTCTTCTTCCTTTTATATTGCTTCACTCTTGTTTTATTTGTTTTTCGTGCTCTTTTCTTTATAGCTTTCTTTCTTTCTTTCTTTACTTGTTTGTTTCCTTTTTTTCTCCCTGTATTTTCTTCCTTTTTTCTTTCTTTATCCAACTTTCATTTTTTTTTATTTTTCCTCAACTTTCTGTCTTTTTTACAACTTTATTTTATTCCATACATTCATTGCCTCCTTCTTTCTGTCTTTCTTTCTTTCTTTCTTTTTTTCTTTCTTTCTTTCTTTCTTTCTTCCTCCCTTGTCTCTTTCATTTTTTTCTCCCTTTTCTCTTTTGCTTTTCTTTATTTTTATTTCTTTCGTCACTGTTACTTTCTCATTTCTTTTTTCATAGTTTCTTTCTTTCTTTCTTTCTTTCTTTTCTTTCTTTCAAAATTTCTTTCTTTCTTTCGAAATTTCTTTCTTTCTTTCTTTCTTTCTTTGTACAATTCATTCTTTTTCGCCATCTTTCTTTCTTTCTTTCTTTCTTTCTTTCTTTCTTTCTTTCTTTGTACAATTCATTCTTTTTCTCCATCTTTCTTTCTTTCTTTCTTTCTTTCTTTCTTTCTTTCTTTCTTTCTTTGTACAATTTCTTCATTCTTTTTCTCCATCTTTTTTCTTTCTTTCTTTCTTTCTTTCTTTCTTTCTTTCTTTCTTTCTTTCTTTGTCACTCGTATAATTCATTCTTTTTCTCCGTCTTTCTTTCTTTCTTTCTTTCTACCCCAATTCACTTGCAATCTTACTCCCACCTCAGCTACGAACAGAGCCTCCTCTAATTGCCTTTGTTCACTATAGCTCCTGCTTGACCCCCAACACCTCACTTGGAGTCTTGTTCCGCCAGTCGTCCTCCCTCCATCTTGAATTTCTCTCCTCATCTTGCACTTACACCTCCTTCTTCCTATCTTGCTTTCGTTGCTTCACCAGCGCCTTTCTTTCGCTCGCTTCTTTGTTTTTTGAAAGGTTTTGTTTTTACTGCGCACGCGCGTATGCGTTTCGATTTTATTTCGTTATTTCAATTTTATCCTTTTCCTCTCCTCCTCCTCCTCCTCCTTCACCTCGATCGTTTCCAAATCACCCCAGTCTCTCAGTTTGGAAACTCTTCATATCAAAGTCAGAGCTTTGATGACAACGAAATTCTTGCAATAAAAAGGTTTGAAAAGTCATCGCTCTTCCTCCATGTCTCCTCATCAAGCGAAATGATCTCTTCATTCAGTTTACACTTCTTCATCTTCCAAGTCTGCGTCTGAAGATGTCTCTTACTCAGTCGAATTTCAAACGAACTTCAGATCTTTTCCACTTCCACTTGTGTTATTTGTACAAACTTTAAACTCAAGGGTGTCTCATCAATTTTCGTGCGGTTCGAAATTGAAACGATTGAAAACATTAGAGTAATAAAAACATACAGACTAAAATGTCTTTCATGACAAAAAGAAACGGTTCACAAAAAAGCGAGGCAAAATAATTAAATGAATTAAAGATTCACAAAAAGAGGGGTAAAAATATATATTACCCTAAAACGGTAATATCGAAATATAACAATTCATTACAGAAAACATGTTTAACAAAATTATATATATATATTACCGTAAAATGGTAATACCGAAATATTAACAATTCATAACAAAAGCAAAAAAGTCGGGGTAACAAAAACATATATATTTTACCGTAATATGGTTATACCGAAATAAAGCAATTTATAACAAGAAGCAAAAAGAAGGGGAAACAAAAACATATATATTACCATAAAATGGCAAAACCAAAATATAACTTTAAAAAACAACAAAATTGATTTACCGGTTATTTTTCATCAAAGCAAAAACCGTGCACAACGACTAAATAATTATACAACACCAAACTAATGTTATATAAAAAAGTATATGTATAGATCTATTAGATCTCTATATATATATATGATTGTGCGTGTGAGTGTATATGTGTACGTACGTGTGTGTGAGTGAGTGAGTGTGTGAATTGATAGATAGATAGATAGATAGATAGATAGATAGATAGATCATTAAAGGCTAATCAGCTTTATGCGCATCAACTATTCCTTCTGCTTACAGAAAGGTGGCTGGTAGGACTAAATATATACTGATTCCCAGATCTTCAATTGATAATCAATATTAACCTTACTCACCACCGAAAACATGTCAGAGATTTAAGCCCGGAAACACTGTTGATTTTTAATGAAATGTTCAACTACCGCTAAACTTAATGCATTAACACACCTATGTAAATTGTCCACCTTTCCCTTGCCAATATTGGCCGCTAAGTGTTGGTTGATCCAACATAATTAGAAGCTTATAAATATGCAACATCGCAACGTAATTCCTGTACCGATGTTGAAGGGGGGTATGCTGATGATATAGATATTTCATAAATGGGATAAAAATAGTCTTGAATAAAAAAAAAATCACCATTTTCTATACAGTATTCCGAGAAGTAGGACCCAAAACCTTTCCGTAACAGAAACTATTATCTGAAACTTGAATAAATCTTATGGTGGCACATGCGGCAGTAAAAATGTAAAATGCGTGTAATTAATAAATACTAAACACTTTAAATATCTGGGTATATGGATCAGTTATATCAGATTTCGTATAAGAGATAAGATAACTGAATATAGAATAAGTTGCGCTAGAGGTAGTTTCGCTATATACCACCACACGCTACATAACCAAAATATTAACTTAAATACTTGAGTCCATGTTTTTAAATAAACACGTCAGCTATAGATTCTTATATGGATGTCGTGCTTAGCGTCCAACACATGTCTAAACTATTAACTCTACGAGGTCTGTTCACAAAAGAATCGGGATTGGTTCTATAAAAAGAAACTACAAAACATATTAATTCGACGTTTAATCTCCTTCGAAGTAGTCCTCATCTGAAGCCACGCACTTTATCCATTATTGTTCCCATTGATTGAAACATTCGTGGAAAATCTTTTTGGTGAATAATGAGCAGCTGGCTCGTGGCATTCTCTTGGATTTCCTTGAGGTCTTGAAACCTTCTTCCTTTCAAGTTGGATTTGATTTTTGAAGCGGAAAAAGTCACAAGGCTTGAGATCTGGAAAAAATGGTAATTGACGGATCTAGGAAATGTTCTTCTTGACCCAAAACTATGAATAGTTTTTCCTCTTGTCTTTTATTCATTCTGTTCCTTCATAGATACACACTATCTGAAAACACACACATACATACACATTGACATATATATATATATATATATATATATATATATATATATATATATATATATATGTGTGTGTGTGTGTGAGAGAGAGAGAGTGTATGTGTGTGTATGTATTGTTTCTATATATTCTAGGGGTCAGCGCTGTATACTGGGGAGAGGGAGTTTGTATATATACGAGGTCTGATCAAAAAGTATCGGAACTGGTCATATACAGAGAAAACTTATCAATTCGGCATTTAATCTCCTTCGAAGGAGTCCCCTTCTGGAGTGACATACTTTATCCAGCGTCGTTTCAATTGATGCAAGCATTCATGGAACTTCTATTTTTTGGATAACGAACAGCTGCCTGGTCGCATTCTCTTTGATTTCCTCAACGTCTTGAAAACTTGTTCCATTTCAAGCGGAATTTGATTTTTGAATTGGAAAACGTCACAAGTGCCGAGATCTGGAGAATATGGTGTTTGTTGGGCATGGGAATGTTGTGCTTGGCCAAAAACTGTTGCACAAGTCATTGTCACTAATAGAATCCGCGTGGCGTCAATCTGTATCAAGCGGCTTTTCTTACAATATAAATAGTATCGTCCATTATTTATCGGAGATAATGGCTGGGTTAATTAACTAAAGAAAATAATATGATCTTTATCTATTACTTAATTGATCATTTATTCTCTTTCTTTCGATATATCTTAATTTTTTCTTCCCTTCTCTATAGAGAAGCTGAATAATATATTGGAAGTAACGTAGTTTTTAGACTTGGCGAATATTGTCCTTAGCCAAAAACTGCGACAGAGGCAACTGTCCATGATAGAACCTCTGTGGTGTGGCGAGATGACCACACTACATACTTTGCTTCTAAGCACTACTACAAACAACGGAAGTGAGCGAGAACCTTATAGTGCGCATGCGCGAGTTCAAGGTCAATCTGTGCGAAGCGGTTTCACTCTGCATACTTTATCTCCGTTATCATAGCAACGTAAGGGAGCACGGTGGAGTGATGGATAGCGGCTCGGTTTGGGGAATCGGAGAGCCGAGTTCGAATTCCCGTCAAATTCATTACATTCCCTTCCGTGCTAACACCTTTGTGAAAGGTATGAATCCTCTTCTTCTCCCCACCAGGTATGGGTAAATAGCAGGGTGGACTGGGTTCTATAACTTTGAATGGCAACTGGTCTATCCAAATTGATAATTGTAGGGTTTTTTTTACCGCAGAAAGAAATGGCAATCTACTGTGTCAGTCATGTATCGAAAGCGTGTATCACGCACATAACTGACTGACAATGCTGATCAGGCCTCATATAGAACCGTTTTCCCAGATCATTGATTTAAAATGGCTTCAAAGTGATGAGTCGCCGCTACAATTTTTTATGAAATCTTAAAGACAGGCACTACAAAGTCACAAAGAATATTACCAAATAACAGAAACCACATCAGTCGAAAACTTCCAATAGAAGCTGCAACTAAACTGGCCAACACGTATAATTAAATGGGAAAATAATGATATAACCAAGCTATTGACCTTCCATATTACATTAAACAAATTCCTAGGGGAGGACATTTCCATTTCAAGGACCTGAAAAATGGTTTAAGTTCAAGATTTTACTTGCATTATTTGAGCTGTTATCCACATTGCCATATTCACAACGTTTCGGCCGTTGTATGCTCCGGTCTTCTTCAGAATTTCGAATAGAACCCTTTATTCCGTCTACCGAATTTATTTCGTGCCATGACTTTTCTAGATGTCTCAGTTATTTCCCTTTAATTCTCTAAGTTTTTTGGTTCACCACTGCTGTAGCCTGGTATTGAACTCACAACTCTTTGGATCTAGTCACTGGATCGAACCAACATCTTTAACTACTGGGCCATGTTTCCTTGAGGATTTCTGTGTAAGCATTTTTGGGACTTATAAACTTAATGTCTCAGCAACTATGTTTTACCAGTGCAGTTTTTTTCTGTTATTATTATTGCATTTTTAACCAGAGCTCATATTGCAATTTTTGTTGCTATAAATTGCTTCTCTAGCACTCCTTATTACTGGTTCCCATATTGTATTCATTTCTATGCTTGATCGGCTCAGGAAATTTTTGTGGCCTAGCATATGTGCTGATTCCTTAAGTTTTCATATTTTCCAGTGATTATCTGTCAATTATTTCAACCTCATCCCACGGGGGGGCATAGTTGTTGAGACATTAGTTTTATAAGTCCCAAAAATTCATACACAGATGCCCTCAAGGGCACATGGCCCGGTAATTAAAGACGTTGGTTAGATCGATAGATAGATAGATATATAGAGAGATATCCAGATACGATGATAAAGAATAGAATACAATTCCAACGTTCTTAATATTTAATTTAAAAGAGTGCTCAATACAAAGTAGAGCAATATTATTTATTTTGCATATTACATCGAAAACGTAAAAATCGATACACAATTGCAGTCATGTTTTAATGCCTATCAGTGCATCTCCTCAGGCGACTGATATGCATTGAAACACAACTGCAATTGTACAACGATTTTTGCATCCGTCTCCGTACACCCACTTCCAGAATACCGTCCAAAATACCAGGGTCATAAAACATCTTTACTGACCAAAAAAAAAAAAAAAAAAAATAACGCGGTTTTTCAGCAATTGTTTCTGAGCCACTGACTCATTAAAAAGCCAACGCTAATTTCACCTACAATCTAGTTCCGACTCGACTGGCATTAGCGATGGACCCCACGACAAGCAAACTTAACCAGGCCATCAGCAGGGACACCAAGGTATTTCCATTAACAGTGATGCCTTCGGCCAGTGACCAACCCAGCGGCAGCAGTAGAGGCTAACCCACGACGACCCTAATGCTATAATACGTGGAATAATTTTAGTCTATCCCACTCGACTAAATATCCGTGTTGATTTTCTTCCACCACTCTATCTTGGCTACTAACTTGTGTTACATCTCGAACATAGCCTCAGTCTTTCACGGCTGATATACGAAACACCGAAACAAGCAAACGATCGAACCTTGTAAATCAGGGGAAATAAAATCCCTTTTACTTTTGATCTCAGTCACGTCTTATCTCCATTTTCTGTTTGGCCGTCTCCTTTTTTTCTTGTTAACAGTAAGGCGACCGTTGCAAGATGAAAGGAAAGCTTAGTTCTTTTCAACATGGAAATCAATTCAAGAAAAGCTTTCAGAGAGAAAAACAACAACAAATATATCATGTTTAACTGACACGAAATTTTGCTTTGATTATACACATATCTGTTTCAAAAACATTGTTTCCAAGTTGATGGGAATTGCAAATGGCTTGCCACATATTTTTTAGCATCTCTATCTATCATCTATATATTATGTCTTTAAATTCCTTGAGGAACATAAGGCCGAAAGATATCGTTGCAGTTTCTATAACGAGCCAGTTTTTTTTAAGTGAATAGGTTGTTAACCTACTGCACGGCCCCCAACCTGGAGGATCAGGTTTTAAATTCAGACTTATCCTTCTATACCAAGTGCCATCCAAGGCTATAGAACTCGGTCTGTCCTGCTATTTACCCATAGCTGGGCATGGGAAGAAGAGGATTATATATATATATATATATATATATATATATATATATAATGCCTTTAAATTCCTTGAGGAACATAGGGCCGTAATATATCGTTTCTATAACAACCCAGTTTTTTTTTTAAATGAGTAGGTTGTTGGCCTACTGCACTGCCATTCCCCACCCCAACCTGAAGGATCTGTTTTGAATTGAGAGTTCTCCTTCTCCTAGACCAGTTGCTACCCAAGGCTATAGAACCCGTTCTGTCCTCATATATACCCATAGCTAGGAGGAGGAAGAAGAGGATTCATACCTTTCTCATGGGTATTAGTACATAAGTGAATGTAATGAACTCGACTGGAATTCGAACTCTGCTCTCCGATTTCTCAATCCGAGCAGCTATCCATTACTCCACCATGCCTCCATTCATTTTTGTTTTTTTTTAGAATTGATGAGTATAATTTCTTCGGGTAACACTAATACATTAGTAGAAGAAAGATTTCAAAAATATATTTAACCACTTATTCAAATTCATGTCGCAAATCAACCATTCGCCCTTGCATGGAGTATTGCTGCCATATATGGTCTAGTGCACCTTCTGTTTACCTCGGAGTTCTTGACAAGATCCAGAGGCGGATATGTAATATAATTGGCCCTGATCTGGCATCTCGTCTACAGTCACTCTCTCAGACGCGCCGTCGCCTCTCTGTCTTTTCTACAAATACTTTCATGGTAATTGCTCCGATGAGCTGCTTTCACTGGTTCCCAGACTTCATGAATTCAAGCGCCCTACGAGGCTGGCATTCCGCTCTCACCTTTACACTGTAGAAACTTTTAAATGTAGACGTCTCTTCTACTCCAATAGCTTCATACCTCGCACCTCTCGCTTGTGGATCACCCTTCTCTATTACTGTTTCCCTGAGAGCTATAATCTCCAACTATTCAAATGTAATGTCAATCGACATCTCCAGTTACCTTGATCTATCCACTATCCTTCTCCTCATCCTTTCTTCTATCACTCCTATCTGTTCTCACTCTAAATCTTCTGCACCCCGCCCCCTGCATCCTAAAACAAAACAAAAAAAAAACATTGATTGGAAGAGATTGGTGTTTCATTCGAAAGGGAATCCGAATGATTGAATAATTAAAAACGGAATAAAGAAAAAGGGATAAAGAACAAAACGCGCGATAAGTTGATTGTGCACCTAAAGATTTCATTTTGTTATTTCCAGTTTCATAAAGACTGCGTTTGAAAGCATTAGAATCCATCTTTAAAAGAAATTCATGACTAAAGGAATGACTATTGGGAGAAAAAGGATATTTAATACCGAATAACAGAGAGGAGAGATTAATTTTGTTATATGAAAATGGTCGATATATTCTCATAGGAGGGTCGGGCTGAAAAATTTTCGATGCCACCAAGAAGGGATTTCCAGCCAAATTTTGCTGATTTGATCAAATTTTAGTGCTTATTACGTTTGTGATAAAATATGTGTAACGTAGACATGCAGGAAGAATAAAAATATTGAAAAGATTGCTTGTCGCATGCACTGTACGATAACGTTAAAAATGTTTTATATATATATATATATATATATATATATATATATATATATATATATTCCTTTAATTTGCCTGAAGAGGGTCACGAGACCGGAAACACATAGCAAAAAAAATATGAAGAAATAAAATATTTAAGAGAAATCCACATTATCCATTTTCTCTCTTTGGAACAATTATAACCTTTTTCCATATATACATATATATATATATATATATATATATATATATATATATATATATATATATATATATATATATATATATATATATATATATATATACACAGAAAGAAAGAGAGAGAGCAGAGCAAGCTGTAAAATTATATTTTATCATATATATAAATAATAGTTGGCCACTCCTTTTCGAGGATACCCCTCTACTAGGGCGGCTAGCCAATCCCCATTGCAGACGCTTGCTCAGGTACATTCTGAACAGACGTTAGTTACAGTTTCAGGGCGAGAGCGCGTTATTTAGCAATGTGAACCAGGCCAGCACACTCAGACCCTTGGTCACAATCAACCGTGGCGAGATTCGAATCCGGGTCTCCTGGTCAAAAAGCGATAGTTTTAGCCACTGGACCACGCGCCCATATTACCATACGCATAATTACATGATTGCATACACACGTATGTGAAGGGG